TATTCATCAAAGTGATTGTCAATGGGACAATGGCATTGTTCAGAGAACCTTGGATCTATACCCATCTTCCATTTTGTTCGAATGGTATCTGACCATGGACAGTAATGTTGTTCACGGTTTTACCGGTGTTCTGGCCTTAAGACCAACAAAACAACAGTCACCACGGCGACGACCATAGTGACCGTCAGCGACCGTGGACCTTGAGTGCCGAGTATATCTCATGGAATCTGGAGGCGTACACTCTTGCACACATTCTCCTCTGCATCATCATCCCGAAACCTCATCATACGAGGAAGTCGTCTTACGGAACCACGCTGTCACAACAACCCCCAACCCACCAACAGCCTTTTCACCATCACCACTTGCACGCTAGCCTTGAAAGCGAAGCGACAAAATGCCCGCTCACAAGGGTAAGAAGCACTCCCTACGGGGAGCCATAGTCGGGCTACTCAAGAGGACTCCGATTCGAAAGCGGCAAGTCGAAGTCGAAGAACCCACGTCAAGCGCCCAAGCCACATGCCCGCCACTTGATGAAGCCCACGGCCTGGAGCAATCTCCTCGCCCTAAGAACGACGAGCTTAAGCACGACGACCCTCAATCCAACAGCGATGAACAGCCCCCTTGCCCTAAAGACGACGAGGTGGAAGACGACAGCTCGAGAGGAAGACCCAGCTCATTCACGCCTACCAGAGAACGGGCACCAACCCCTCACCCAAGTGCCTCCAAGCCTCAAAGCCCTACTGAGAAGACAGTCCAGTGGGCGAGCCAGCTGGAGGAGTCGACACCTCGGAAGAAAGCGTCGCCGATCCTGAAGAGAGAAAAGACCGCGAAAGGAGGAGAAGATTGTGACACGGAGGAGAAGAATGAAGAAGGTGAGAATTTCCAAGAGGAGGAGGCAATCCCGAAGGAAGTCCCGACAACCGACGCGCGTCAACAACAACACTCAAACATTCCCCGACCAAAGCCCAGGGGTTTGGAGTCGAGCACCTCGACATCGTATCTCTCTAGGCTACGCTCTCAAACCATGATCAGGGCAAGAGCATCGACGAATCCAATCCGACAGGCTCCCGAACGTCCGCTCAGCTCGTTGCGCATCCCAAAGGACAAGGACTCCCTCTTCCTTGACAAGACCACAACCATCCCTTCATCAGTGAGTGTTCCTCATAGACTTCCAACATGTAATCAGAACATAACTAACCACGATCAGGTATCAGGTGACGACAAGGATCAAACCAAAGCAGACCAACAGGTCAAGGCCAACATTTCCCGTAGGAGAGAGACCGCTCAGACCGAGTCTGCCCAGCAAAAGCCCCAACCAAGCCGCGGTAAAACATCACAGAAGTATTCGCGCAACTTTTCATACCCCACGTGCATCACAACAGGCCCGCGTAGCGCTGCTCGCCAACACGACCAGTCCAACATCACCAATGAAAAGCCTTTGCCACCCCCAACAACATCATTCCTGAAAGCTAAACCGAGACGCTTTGCGTCCTCCTCTTCCGCTAAATCCAAGCCAGCTTCAACTGACGACAATTCGGCTTCTACCAAGGCATCGGCTCCCTCCTCCCTCACAGCAACCTCAACTCCGCCACAAGCCGAGCCTGGTACTTCCGAGGCCAGATCAGCTCCCGCCAACCCGTCAACCACCCCTTCAGCCTCAATTCCTTCTTTTGAAAGTGCAAAGACCTTTTGGAACAAAATCGACAGCGGTAACAGCGGTAGTAAAAAGCGCATTGCTCCTGTATCCGTCCCCAAACCTGACGTGGCCTCCATTTCCTCCAAGGGCACCACGGCTCCCAAAGCCCCAAAGACGTCTCAGATTCCAAAAGCTTCATTCAACGCAATCAAGACCTTTTGGGCTCAATTGGAGATGAGTGATGACGGTAGCTGTGCAGCTCAGACACCAAAGAGGCAGAGCCAGAAAAGCTGCCACCTTGTCGATATCGACAGTAGTCCTTTTATCTCGACCCCGGCCTCCAACCTCGGAAGAGAGTGAGATTGAGCGATACGTCGCTATTGCTTGCGCTAATCCAGGGAACGTTGGAGCGAATAGGTGAGCTACCGAGGGCGGGAGGATGGGTTTGAGATGACGTGGGAAGGTGGATCGAGGAGCGCATGATGAAGGAAGAAATGGATTTGCTCTGTCGGAAATTGGGAGAGAGCTGAAGTGGAAGGAAGGGAGTGTACGAGTAAAAGGAGAAGGAGCAGATTGAAGCATGGGACTGTATGCAAGCCGGATAGAAGCCGAGAACGGCGGGGAAATGTGGAGTGGCTATCATGGAGGAAGGGAGCATGTTCGGCGGGTGTCACACGGACATATGCCA